GAGCAGCACAGAGCACACCCAGAAACGTGTGACCACTTTCCCAGCCCAGGAGCAGGGCTGGCATCTGCTCCAGAAGCATCTGGGGACCCAGCACCATCATCAGCAAATCCCAAGGGCTGGGAGAGCAGCATCCCACCGCGGAAGGAATGCAGATGAGGAACACGCTCAGCTCCCTCTGCTGGCACCTACTCCAGTCCAGGCCCAGGAATCGTGGAGATTTCACTACTGCAGATGAAGATGTAAACAAAACAATGGAACACACCAAGCTCTTAAGCCAGCCCTGATCCCATAATATTTGGTGGAGCAAGCAATGCTGCTGCTTACCTGTGCGTGCCATTTGCTGCTGCACTTGGTTTCCAGTGCATGCTTTTACTCAGCTGTTCTGTGAATGGGATCCGTTTCAGATTAAGTTCCCTTAAATCATTTCTGTCTAACTGGCCATTTCCCATTAATGCATGGGCTGAGCACACAAATTACAGCTTACAGCAAGCTTCCAAAGAAATCCTCCACCAAAAGCTGTTTCCACACATGGAAAGTGTGAGAAGGAGCCCCGCCTGGGGGGCAAAAACACCAGCAGAGCCACATGTGAATGAAGGACCGGGGATGATGCAGGATTTCCTTGTGCAGCAGCCCCAGCAGTGAGATGACCTCCACTATAGCAATGGCAGCAGGTATCACAGAATGGTCCAGGTTGAAAAGGAGCACAGTGCTCATCCAGTTCCAACCCCCTCTGTGCGCAGGTCCCCAACCAGCAGCCCAGGCTGCCCAGAGACACATCCAGCCTGGCCTTGAATGCCTGCAGGGATGGGGCATCCAGGACTAGCCTGCCTGGGAGACAGCATGAGGAGGGAGGTGTGATCACACTGTCCTGCTCTGGTGAGCTTCTGACAGGTTGCAACCCTAAAGACAAACAGATTCTTTCAAGCAAATAAGCAGTCAATGAGAAGTTTGGTGGGGGGAGAGAAGGAGAGGCATCCCAACCTATCCAAACAGAGACTTGTTTTAAAGCCACCTGGGAGCACCCAGAGCTCAAGGGGTGCATTCTTTTTGTGGTGCAAAACAAACACCCATAGGCACAGATAGCAGGATGTCTCTTCCCCATGAGGCTTTCAGTCAAGCTTAAACAGCACATGAAAGCTCCAGGCACTTATTCAAATGTTAAAAAGCAAACCCAGCACACACATATTGAGGTTTCTTGCAAGGATTAGTAACAAAGTCACATGTAAGCAAGAGATCAGCTTTACCTAAGCTGCTCCAGAATACAGTTTATATAGGCAAATGTTTCGGCTGGGTGCCCTGAGCAGCAAGGCCTGGCTTGGGAAATGCCACCAGCCCAAGTGACAGCGCAGTGCCTCCAAGGACCTTCGCATGCCCTCATCCTCATCCACGGGGACACCAGGCACCTCTCTTAGTGCTCCTCCCCCAGCATCCCCCTCCCCAGCTACCAGCACTGCGTACCAGAGCAGCCCTAAGGGAGCCCCCCAGGGACAGGAGCTCCAGCACAGCCCCCCATCCCTCACAGGCTCTCCTCCCCCCTCACCTTTAGTCACAAATGGACCTCAGCCACTCCTCACACCTTTACCCAGGCTGGGGAGTTTGATTAACTCAGCACACACTGAATTCCTTCTTTTTAAAGCAAGTTGGAAGAAAGGCAGAGAGAGAATTGAGCCTTAGCAAAATCCCGGGGACAGGAGGAGCCGTAAGGTGACAGATTCAGGAGTTGTTTGTCAGCTTCAATAAAACTCTCAACGGCCACAGAACTTTTTTTTTTTTTTCTGTGTTAATTTAATCATACAAATATTCATTTATACATCAAGGAAAAAGCTTCCTCTTTATTTTTCATTTTTTACCCCCAATGTGCTGTCGCAGGACTTCTCCCAGACTCGATGAGGCAACACACCACCCTGTTCTACACATGCACTCCCCCCAGAGAGAATAGACAGGCTGCAGAACCACCACTCACTCACACAAGGAAAGAAATTAAACACACAACAGAAACCCAGACGTGGGACAGCGTGCATCCCCAGCCCTGCAGCTCCATCCCCACGCTGCAGCTCAGCGCAGCCCAACCCAGCACAGCCTGAGCCTTGGGGCTGAACTCCACTGTGCTCTGACTCCTGGCCCGCTGCTGGCGCCCAACGCAGGGATCTGACTTTAGAGAGCGGAGATGTATTGCAGCTTGTTTCCTTTTTGGAGGGGCAGCGGGGGAGGAAGATCTGTTTCTCCTGCTCAGGACAAATGGGTGTTAATCAGAGACCGAAGCTGCAGCCTCTGCCACTGCACCCTTCTGTACCGCTGGGTGCCAGCCCCATTGGGGCGATGCAGCCTCCCAATGGTTTCTTTCTCACCAGCCCAAGCTCTGTGTGCACAACCCGCCTCGGCCGGCTCCTGAGAGCTGCAGCCCAGCAGTGGTGACAAACCACGCCGCTGGTTTCGCCTGCCTGGTGTTCAAGTTTGAACGCATCAGCCCTAGAGAAATCAATACGGATCCCCCCACAACACCTGAATATCTCAGACCTCTCTATTTAAGATCAGGAAAGCTGACAGCACGAGCAATTTGGGGGCTGGCTGTATCACTGCATTTCAAGGAACCAGAGGAGACAAAACCACCTTTGGCCTCAGAGAAACAGTTCTCACGAGAGGAAAATCCCAGAGGGTAGAGCAACCTCTAATTCCAATGTTCTCTCGCTGTCACAGCAGGGTTACAGCCCTGGCTCCCAAAGCATCTGCAGCTCTGCACCATCATTTGCAGAGGTCGTTCCCACAGATGAGGGCTGGCGCTCAGCTCCCCAGGGCTCAGCTGCACGGTGAGCAGCACCAGGCTGCAGGTTTCAGCAGCACCTCAGCTCTGGCCCTGCCTTTCTGCACAGCCTGGAGCAAACAACTCTTGCTGCAAGGACACCATGGATTGAAAATGCTGAGGAGAGAATCCAGATCTGTGCCGAACAAGGATGCCTTCTGAGTGGGAAAGCACAGGGCTACGTGGGGTGCATCATGCAAGCTTTTCTCAAGAAAAGGAAGGTTCATCAGCAGGAGCAGCACAGGAACACAAGCTCGACAGCCATTCTCTACACGACGAGCAGACGTGCCTGGGAGCAGAAAGCTGAAGCGGGGGGATCTGAGGCTCGAGGGTCTCCCAGCTGACTCAAGGCAAAGGTTGCAGCACCAGCTGCTGTATGAGGTCTAATTTCCTTCCCCTGCCTCCTTCCATTACACAGCTGACAAAGAGAGCTATAAAGATAAGGAAACACCTCATCATCTGGACAAACAGCAGCCTGCAGTGTTTTAGATGCTTTCAGAAGGGCAGTGGCAGTGTTGTAGATGTGATGGTCAAGTTCATGCCTTCAGAGCTTGGCACATTAACCACCTGCTCAGAAAGGAAGGAGCAGAGGCAGAATCCACTTGCCCAAGCTACAATGCAGCAAGGCAAACTACTCCCTAGACTGAATGCTAAGAGAATACAACTTCATCAGGGCAGAAAGATGGTACAGGACAAGAACAAAACACCACAGTGGCACCAGGCAGGGCAGCACTACCTTCCACGGGCACATTCAGTCTGAATCTGTACCACTTACCAGCTCCAGCAAGCTGCTGACTGTCATGACACTGACACAGACCCAGGTAAGTTCACCAAACCACACGTGCTCCCAAAGGTCCAATTTTTCCTCTGCTGGATCCAGAGAAGACCCACCATCCTCCACAAGAAGCACCTGTACGCTCTGGTTGGCAGCTGGAATGCAAACTGATCCCCCATCCACAACAAATCAAGAAAATGCCACACACCAAGCAGCAGCAAGCCTGCGCTCTGCTCTGAAAGGAGTCTGCACCAGAAAGGTTGGGAAGAAGCTTGTGGGGTATTTGCATATCGTTGTGTCTTTGGCAGTTGGCTCTTCTGGCCTGCAGGACTCCTGTCAGTCAGTGCCCTGCAGAAGGAGCTGGGGGCACACAGCCCTCAGGAACCCACGAGGCCCCTCTCCCCCCTTCACGCTGGGCTTTCCAATCAATAACTGCATGAAGATACACTGCAGGAACAGCAGAGCAACCCGTATCTTTAGAGGAACAAGTCCTCCTCTGGCAACAAGCCCTGGAGCCCGTTGGAAGGGTGAGAGCCTCCAAGCTATACAAGGATGATAAAGGCGAATGAACACAAGGCGACAGAGTGGAATCCAGCTGCTGATTCTAACTCTTGCTCTACATTCAAAACTGCAAAGATTTAGCCTCTAAGTAACGCTTCCTAACAGGAGAAAGGAATTCAAACTTATACTGCATGAGAGAGATGGGAGACTCAAAACTAATAAGGAGGTGACTTGCAAAGCTCTGCGACTACCGTCGAGTGAATTACAGCTACAGAAAAGTAGTTTCCTCTTGGCACAGGACCAGTACACTCGCTTGGTGGCTCTAGGCACAGCTATTGTACATCAAGAGTTAAGAGAAAAAAAGTATCTTAAAATGCTAACCACATAGGACAGCTCTGGAACTTTAATAGGTCTGTTTCTTATTCATAGGGTTGTGTATACGAGCACTTCATGTGCAAGAGGAAGGGAAACGAGCCCTCCTTTATCCTACCCCAGTCCAGAGTCCCTCTGTTCAACTGTGATGCTGAGACCTGGTCCTCAGCAGGGCAACTGACAGCAACACTCAAACCAAAAGGAAACAAATGACAACACAAAAAGAATTAAGAAGTGGGTAAATAAAATCAGAAGTGAAATTAAAAACGCTGAGCTGGGTACAGACCCAACCCGCCATTCAAACGCATCCAACACAAAGAAGTCGCTGCACAAACCCCCAGAAGATGCCAAGCAAACGTCCATTGGGTAACAAGCAAAACATGACAGTTCCACACAAATGCACGCTGCCCCTTATTTAAAAAACAGGAGAGAAACAAATTAAACATTTGCTCAAACTACAACCGCTCCGTAGGCAAAATTGCTTAAAAAGATGGCTTTTTCATTTCATTTTCTCTCTTAAACTTCTCAAGCTACCTAATTATCCTGTGTGAGAATGACTTCTAAAAAAAAAAAAAAAAAAAAAAAAAAATCACGGTGTTGGTATAGTTTCCTTCTCATAGCATTAAACAGCACTCCTGAAATTCAGCATTCACACATGCATACTGAGATCTTTCCTCCAGAAACAGTCTTAAGTTATTGGGCTTTTTTTTTTTGTCTTCTTTATCCAGAACATGGAGGCAGAGAAGGGGGCTCCACGCCGCGTCTGTTTGCCACATGAATCCCCCTCTCCCTTCCCCCACAAGTCAGTTCTCTGTTAAATTCTCCTCTTGCCGATACCCGTTTTTGTGTGTGTGTGTTTTAAGACTGTCCGAAGGGATAAGGACCGTGGAAACCCTGAAAGAAAGTTGGAGACATGATCAATTTCAACAGGCAAGAAACAAAAGCGCTCAGCGCGTGCCTACAAATAACGCCCATCCCATCCCAGTGCTACGTCCGATCAACCCTTCACCCATCACAGCAACAGCCCCAGCTCTCCAGCCTCACCAAGGCTCACAAAGGAGCTGCTCTCCCCTCTCACACCAGCTGCCATCCACTTACCTCCTCCACGTGTTACCTAGGCCAGCTAACAGCCGGGCAAAACGCTTCTCAGGTGCTACAGGGCTAAATAAGTAACTGCTGACAGCTCCTACACCAGAGCAAAAGCCATTTGTGGATGCTGCTGTCCTTGCAAGGCCCACAGCTGCAGTCTCACAAGTCTATTCTAAAGGTTACAGCAAACAGGAAGGCCATAACTGATGGAAAAGCCCACTGAAGAGGAAGCAGCATTTTGAACTCCACATTCATCACAGGCACTTCTTAAGGACACGTTCTTTTTCAAGTGAAAGTCAGCCACAACGCTTAAGCAAAAAATTAAAAGCTTACAACAGAAGCCACTGTCCCCTCATTGACATTCTGAAGTGAGCAGCCTGACAGATCTAGTGACAAGCCTCCAGTTAGCAGGAGCTCCTGTCTTAATTCCCATCGTTCCTGATGAGACACTGGATTGCTGATCGAAGCAGTGAGCAGGCAGGCAATGGATCTCACACCCCACAGATAAAGTTTGTCACAGTGATGAAGGTCAGAGCCACGCCAAACCCTCCCATAAGATCCAGGTATACATTGAGGTCAGAAGCGAGAGGAGGGAGGAAAAGCTTCTGTTTCCACTATCAGAGCTGGAAGCTTTGTTTCTTCAGGCCATCCCCTGGCTGGCTAAGACAGCTCAATGAGCACAGAGCCATCCTCTGTCTTTCAGGGAAGCTCTGACTTCAAGTTTTCACCGTTTCACCTTTTAACAGGAAAGATCTCAAAGGAAACATTATTTCCTGCATGTTCTGCTGCAGCTCCCTAACAACCTGCTGCATGGGCCACGAAACGATGATCCTTTAACATGGCTCACACACAGCAAGCACCAGCTGCACCACCTTGAGATCCATTGCAAAAGTTCCAGAGCCCCACTGGGTATCCGTTACAATGCAGGTGCTATCAGAAGCCAATTATTTTGATACTGCTAGTGAGAAAAAAGTTAAGTCCTTAGGATATATCAGATGGCAAAATACAAGGCAGTGGTCAAATGAAGCATCTACCAGCAGCTCTCAAAATTCAGCCCAAAGAGGATTAGCAATTGAAGAGGACATCTTAAAAACTAACTGGGAAATAAGGGGAAAATAAAAACAGAGAGCTGGAAATTGCTGTTTGCAGAGGGAAATGTGCACAAGTGATGGGAAACAAGCACACCTCAGCCCTAGGAATACACTGCATCCCCAGCCTGTGTTATCTCCAAGAGATAACACCCAGCAGACTGCACAACAGCTCGCCTCTGACAGCAGGAGCTCCCACTAGCAGTACAGAAATACCATCGCTGCTATCAACAGGGGGAAGAGCAGAAGGGAACCTGCATTAAAACAACGCGAGCAGGCACACAGACCTGTGCAATAAATCGAAGGGCAGGGAATGAAAACAGCATTAAAAACACCAATCATCAACAGTCCCATCTCGAAGGGATTCAGCTCTGTACCTGCAGACAGAAGGCAGGATTTGCTCATTACCTGTACAGACATTTGCCAGGATTTGCTTCACCTTTGCAGCTGCCCGCACAGCACTTCGATTGCAGGCAGTGACTGCAATCCTACAATCCTGCAAGCTCCCCCAGCCCACAGCTCTCTCGGCGCTGCCTGCTCCCTCTGCTGGGTGCTGCCTGCTGCACAGCACAGCCCATCACTGACATTCAGCACGGGCAGAACCTTTTTTTTGCTCATTTTCACTCCTCTCCTCACGGCACAGAAGAATTACCACAGTTAATCAGCACACAGCACAGGCTGCTCTGCTTCAGTCAGACACGGGAAGAGTTCACCAGCCTTTCTGTGGGCAGAGGCAGCCCCAGCACAGCAGATATTAACCTTGTTTTCAGGGAAAGCCTCTGGAATTCCAAACACTAGATCACACAGCACGTACTTTAAAGCTAAACTACCACGCTAACAGCATGTTAACTAAAAGCAGGGGTCTGCTCATCTTTATGGTTAGATTACTGAGCACACAAGGCTTGGTGCTGCCTGCTACCCTGCACTCCACAGGCTGACATCTCCAGCTGAGCTCCTCTCCCTGTTGCAGCAGTGCTAAGGGCAGCCTCAGGACCCGACTGAGGGGAACTTCTCTGCATGCAGTGAATTTCATCACAAAGAGCCCAAAGTCTTTGGTCACGGGACCACCATAACACAACACTGCATGTGAGGAGCTCTTGGTGGAGCTTCACTTACCTATCAGATTTATTAGGACATATCAGAAGTTACAAAGAGTTAAAAGACTTGTTTCTTAAAGGCAGTGTCGACTTGGTTTGGCATCAGACCTAACAGCCCTCCTGCATGGAAGGAAATAATCTGTTTTAACTTAGCACTGATGGCAGGAAGCATTCGTTCAAATTCTTCTGAATATTTCCAGTGGGGGGAAAAAAAAAAAGAAAATCCAAATGATTCTAAAAGCACATTTCTGCATCCTAAAGCAGTTCGTTAAGCTCTGTGCTTTTGTGTTCTTGTTAAAGCCCGGGGACTTGGGTGGGAACAGACAGCAACGTGTCAGGAAAGGAGCAGCAATCTAAGTAATTGTATTATCAAATACAATATATTTTGTATTTGAATATAAATATATATAAATATAAAAATATAAATCCTGTTTTTAGGAGCATATTCTGCCTGATTTCCTCCAGCAAGAAACCTTCTGTGCAGGAAGAACACTTTGCTCTTCCTCAGCAAGGTGCAAGCTCTTTGCAGACCTCTGTTCCTCTTACATTTATTCAATGAACAGTGATAACAGCATCCTCGTACATAAAGCCTGCAGTTATGCTGCAAAGCAAATACCAACCTCCACTACAGGGCGCTTCCAAGAATAATTATCCCTTGTATGCAAGATTTCACACCATAAACATGCAAAAATAATTCTGCATGCCAACGCAGTTTTCCCAAGTTATTTTAGCTGAGTGTCTCACCCTATTTTTGGTGAACTCCCTTCTATTCTCACAATGAAATGGCTGTCTTTATGAAAAGCTCAGCTGCAGCTTTGCAAATTTACTTTCAGTTCTTCCAGTGTCTTCCACAGAAGTAACTGCTAACTTGCTGGTGAAAGCATTCTGGCTATTAAGACAAACACGAGCACAGAGGACCCTGTTTTTTCAAGCAAACATTGCACATTAAAATTGTTTTAAGTAATCATTTGACTTCATTGTCTAAAAGGGAATTGAGATTGGGACAGTGAAATGCTATGCTCAGTAAATGCTATGGTCTCGTGCTAGAAGAAAGGCCAGACAAGCACAGCAAAGCCTCCACATTCACACCCACAGCACCTGGATGTGAGGAAATAAATGGGAGAATCACTCAACTCCCTTTTCAAACAGACTTGTGAAAAAGCAGAGCCTTTTCAGTTAGCACTGAAATGAAACCACGATTAAGTTAATCTTTCATAAACCATCACAACACAGGCTTTCAAATAGCTATCTTTATTTCACCTTTGTAACTGAGGCAAGTTCAAGACGAGGTACACTGAAGAGAGACAGGAGTTTGATGCAAGCTGCCAAGCACTACAGGCCAGTGGAGATGTACAGAGCTGACGAAGGAACGAGGGCTCAGCTACACGATTAAGTTACCATGCAACAACCTTGCTCCTGTAACTTAATCAACGGCGTGCTTTTAGTCCGCAGAGATAAAAAGCAGGGAACTGGTGGCTTGCAATGGAGCACAGTGAAGCTAAAACTGCACTGTACCACATTTCCCACAGGCCAAAAGCACACGGACTGTTTGTCTTCATGGATGAGCTAACATGCAGCACCCAAACATGTTAGTCTTTCACCAGATAAACAAACCAGCTCATGCAACCCCAATTTAACCTGCATGTGTTGTGCAGCAGTGTGGCTGTCAAGGACTAGCTCCAGTAGTTCCAAGTCCAATATTCTCCCCTCTTTGCTCTGAATCAATTTAGCCATGTGTTAAACAGTCCAATTTAAAGCCCAGACACCAGAACAGAAGGAGCTTCTTGTCTACACGGAAGTAAGCACATTTCTGAGGCATCTTCCTTACCTACAAATATAGTTTGGTACCCAAACAGGACTTTTTTTTCCCACTGGAAACTATCTGAAGGTGACAGAGGTACTCCAGAAACATGCCCATTAGTGCCCTGGTTTGGCAGAAGATACTTCCAGGAGCAGCAGCAGCTTTTAGACTCGGAGAGGGGAAGTCAGTGAGAAGGCTGTCAGGACAGAGGGAGGTTTGGTTTCCCCTAGGTATATAAAACTGCAATTTAGCACAGATCAGAGTTCAGCTGCACACAGAACGATGATGGGGAGCATAAATACAGCAAGAGAAATAAGGTGGCACTCTGAACTCCACATATGCTTGTATTACATCACCTTTTAAGAACAGCATGAGCAAGGAACAGCACAGATTAGCATCACACAACTGGTAGAATGCCTTTTGCAGTGGCAGTGACAATGCAACTTGTTTTGTGTGGGCGAATCTTTGCAGCTCTGAACTTCCATATGCAGTTTTCTGCACTACAAGGAAAGCAGCAATACCTCAATTCACACGGTCAGGCAACTAAACTCAGCAACAGATTTATAGACTTCTATCATATAAGTGACAAATACAATATGAGTGTCAGTATATGGCTATCCGCTTCAAATCTCCGTTTAGACATTTAATCTGTACATTTCTTTTCTTCATTAAGGAATTTAACTCCCAGGCTCTAGAAGACTGCATCTTGTGCTTTTAATGTAAAAGACTGTCACAAGAGAGCAGCAGTGACCTCCACAGTGTTGCTATGAGACAGGAGCAAGTAAATAGAAGGAAACTATATTAGCCTCATCTCTCTTGAGAATACAGAGAGAAAGCGATGCCAAAGAGGAGAATAAAATACCCATGCATGGGTATATCTGGATTCCAATACAGCTCATCCCTGCCCTGAGATAAGCATCCTATCCTGCACTTAAAGCATGTTTGATTCTCAGAACATGCAAAAAAACTCCACTGGGAATAGATATAACAACATGCTTCAAGCAATGCCCTGAACGCAGACCCTGATCTACCTTCCAGCAGTTTATTTCAGAAGGTGAGCAAGATGGACCCAGGGAAGGCATACAGTACAGCAGGAATAAAGACCACACTCAGTTTCTTTCAACTGTGTCACAGGTTTCATCTTATCTGCCTACAGAACAGTCTTTTATCTCCCTAGGAAGGTTTGTTTCACTGAGCACAGCATCCATGCCGTGTGCTTTGTGCTGCTGGACAGAAGCTCTCTGACTGTTTCCACGTGTGGAACATTCAAACACCAGCCTCATTCAGCAGCAGATGGCACATCAGCATTGCAGAGATCCTGGCTCCACTGGGGAATTTTAGAGGACAAGTCACACCTGCTCAGCTGCACCAGAGCAAGAAGCAATGCAGACAAGGTCTGGCAACTTCCAGCATGTTTTACAACTGCAGCCACCAGGAGCAGCTCGTCTCATCTCCAGCATTTCACGGTCTCATGCAGCTGCGTGGCTGGGATCCTTCACAATCCCTCTGCAGAGGGGAAGCCTTCACACCAATCTGAGAAATATGGAGGGCTTATAACCCTTTTAAATACAAGACGCAGGCCTAAACTGAACCTTAACCTCCTCCTTTACTGCATCTCACCAGATGCTGTGCTAAACGTGATCAGGAGTTCAATCCACTATCTGGGGACGTGAAAGGAAATAAAGATATTAGAGGTTCTGCCCAAGTTAAATAAGATTCAGGTATCCTATATCCAAGTATCTAGACTGCCAACCCACAGTAATCTTTGCTTCCAGACCTTGAAATCAAGCCTCTCACATCATTATTCTGTCACAGGACAGTGGCTCCAAATGTCACAGTTCTCCTTCTCCCATTCAATCAGCAGTCCAGGTCCAGGCTCCAGGGAGGAGGGGGAAGCGGACCAGCTGAAGCAGGCCATGAGACAGAGCTTTTACCCAGAGATAGCTGCACACCACCTGCTCATCAGGTGGTTTAATACTTCTAACATCACCTCACCAAGCCCTTATCCACGTAAGGTGAGCCTCAGCTGCTCACACATTACTCCTTTTTAGGAAAAAAAAAAATCTTCCCAAAAGCTTCAAATCTTTCTGGGAGAAAAGGAGGCACACAACAGTACAAGACCTAAACCAGGAAGGCAAACGTGTTCACCAGACAGCCTAAGATGAGACCAAATATCTAGGATGTCAAAGCTACTGAGATCTGTTCACTACAGAGTTGTGCTGCACCACAGGCACTGCACCAAGGTGGGTATGAAATCTGGGGCATAATGCTTCTTGCCCTGGACAGAAAGGGCACGGCTGGAACAAAACTCATCTTCACACCTACCTTCAATAACTGCTTCCAAAACAAAAGCTAACTTGTTGTAGGTCACAAACAGAAAACACTGACAGACAAAAGACCTCAATAAAAAAAAACAGATCAATGAACCTCTTGCACAGCCCATCCTCTTTCCAGAAGTCATCCCTTCTAAAAGTAAACAAGAAACAAGACTTACCTCACATCTACCCCAAAACCACCCACATGCTGTGAGGATAAGGAGGAACAAGAAGAGAAGGAAGGCCGCCCAGCCTATGTCTGGGGTTAGGTTATAATGACTCATCCCATCAGAGCAATGCTCATGAACTTTGGGTTACTAGCTAGACCAGTTCTCTTAAATTTAGCGAGAGCATCTTTGTAGTGCCTCAGTCTCTTCCCCGGCTTCCCTTCTCTGCAGATAACTGGCACATGCCAAGTCCTCTGCATCTCCAATAGGCACGTTCCTTACTCTTAGAAAAGTCAAAATATTCTACTATTCCTCAGCCACGAGAGCCTGTTGATACACCCAACCTGCTGGCACTCACATCACCTTAATTTCAGTAGGAAGGGCAAGGAATTTTCCATAGGGAGAGACCTAGTGAAAAAAAATATATCAAAGGCCACATTACTGCCAAAACCCCATTTCCAGGATTTCTGTGCAGGAGCTTTCTCTGAAGTGCATCTCTTAGCAGTTCCAAATCTATCCACCTGCAAGTGCAAATCAACTACAAAGCAATTGCCAAGTCCTGCACTGAGAGTGCAGGCGAGGGGGGAAAAGGATTAAAAAAGAAAAGTTACCTCCGGTCTAAAGCTGACACCAAAACAGAAGGGAGTTCACCCATCTAAATCGAACCTTGTATTTAAGTTGTGAAAGGTTGAGGCAATTCCAGCATTTCAAAGCTGGAACTCAGAACTCCCATCTCCATCCCCTCCCCACCAAACTTTGCTGCGATGTGTACAACCAGCAACAGCAGGGCAGCACCCTCCACCCAAGGCTCCTGAGGTGAAGTTCATGCAAAGAAACTTATGGATGCCTCTGCTAAAGCAGACAACAGCCCATCCATCCAGCAAACCCTGCTAGGAAAGTTTTCAGTGCCATCCAGCAGCTCTTCAACAGCAGTGACCTCCAGTCACTGTTAACCCAGGTTCTATTTGAGCTGATAGGTGAAAGACTTCATTTGCACTTACTTTCAAAGCCATCCATTTCAGCTCTAGTGAGTGAAAATCCTGAAGCAGAAGCCAACAGAGCTTATTAAAAATTGATCTTCGGGGTGCAAAACACAAGGAGGAGGATTTGTAGCCTGACAAATAATTATCCTCATGCATGCCACCAGTTAAAAAAAATGCATAGCCATGGTGCAAAGTAGGACACTAAAGTATGATCCACTGGTAGAGGACAGGGAGTTCATCCAGTTAGGAACTAAAGTGCTGTAGGTGAACTAACATTAGGGCTTTATTAAGTCATTCAGCAACCAAGTGTTATTGTCCTACACAGCCTGCTTAAAGTACAGTAAAGCATTTTTGAAGGATTTTAAAATCAAACTAGCTTGACATAAGACAGTACACACCTACACATACTGGCTGCATTAACAGGTGGATTCTGAATTGTAAATAATCCTGCAATTCATTTTTCACACACAAGCAAATAAAAAGCCAAAATATCACTCAGACTCTTATAGCATCCGCCAAGCAAGCTTTTGAGAGAGGTTTAAAGTAAAGATAATTTAAAAGTCACCTACAATTATAAACAAGACAAGGACACAGCAATAGTCCTCTGACTGCTCCTGACCAATAGCTTCTGGGACCAAAGCACTGAGCTCTGCAGTCTCTCCACACCAGTTTAAAACAAAACAAAACAAACAACAGAAGTCATCTGGTTAATCTCAAGTTTTGGAGGTGTGGTTATGTTTTCTCTTTTTAATTATGTAAAACTCAGGAACACATCTTGAGAGATATTTTGACTTATTTGCACATGCAGCTGGAATAGGCTCCAGCCACTGATAGTTACAGCACCCAGACAAGATTATATAAACTTTAAGAAGGACTCGAAGCAAAAACAAAAAGAAAAGGTGGATCTGGTAGAGTCTATTAGAGGCAAAAGTATTTTAATATAACATGAGGAGTTGGCAGAGTCGGACAGTCAAATTCAAAACCTTCCTTAGCAGGTCTGGCAGAAGCAGAAGGGAAGGGCTTTGCAGTTTGTAATGAAGAACTATTACATACAGCACAGTCTCATCACCTACCCATTCTCCTGTTCTCCCAGGGCACCTACCTTACTGTATGTCACTACCGACAAGTTGTTCGAGTGACTGCTGGGGGAGAGATTTACAGAGTTTTGTGACAGTCCATTCTGATCTTGTTCAATTTGGTCAGGAGCAGGCCCCCACGTGTTTTTGCTGATTGTGCCTAGCTCAGAACCCCCAGGGTCTTTTAGGTTGTTTTCATCTGGTTGCCTGTTCTTCTGTGGAGAGGCGAACGGGTTAAAGTTTCCTTCTACCTTGCGGTGCGGTTGCGTGTTGAACTCCGTTTCAAAGGATGACAGCTGCTGTGTTACTCCTAGAAGTCCTCCCACTTCCACACTGAGGATCACCCAGATGACATCTGAGGAAAAGGAAAGACCTGGGTCATAACTGGGTGGAGATTATGGAGATGGGGAGAGAAGGAGAAAAAAAACAGGACACGAATTCACTCCTTATAATAGGAAAAAAGATGGATTGCTTTTAACACAGAGCATCAGAAGCAGTGGCTAGGCACTAAGGGAGAGTAAACTTTCAAGAAACCCAAGGCAGTTTTACTGAACTTAAAGAACCAGGTCGGGACATACAAAAAAACAAGCTGACATGACAGCCTGAAACTCCATACTTCACTCCACCAACAGGATGCACTGAAAGCAGAAAACTGTAAGTGACTTTAACCAAGATTATACAGCAGGACTGAAACAAGAACCAGACAAAACCACTGCCAATATGCTCTGATGGTAAAGAAAAGGTAATTTTTTTTGTTTAGCATTAAAAGGTTTGGCTCTTAAAAGCCATACACACCAAGAAGGGTTGTTTGGAAAATAAATAGATTTACTGCAGTTCACATTAATTTATCTGTATTCTAGTTCCAACATGTCTCCAGCAGGTGGACACCTATCTAGACTGGTAAACTATTACACAAGTTTGCAAACTACTGGTTAGAATAAGAATGCCCATCAGTTCTTACATAACGTGTGTCTTTCGTACACAGATAAGATTGTTTTTCTTCTTACTAATTCACCTTGTACTCCATGCAAACACTAGGGCATATTCACATAAACCCATTTCTTGGTACATATCCAAATTCAGTTCTACTGCTTTTTTCCCTCCCCACCTCTCCATTAAACGTGCTCCAGTTCTGCTTTGCTGCACAGAGCTAGAAAATTAACAACAGCAGCAATACCTAATCTCAGCTGATCTAATTACAGGACCTCAAGTGACATCATTCCGGTTCCAGCTTTCCCACAGTGCCAGCCTGCAAGGGGCTCTTCTGTGCTGCGACCAACGGTGTGGGGAAGGGAGGGAGGCAGCAGCTACTGCTGTGCAGTTTTACCACCACCACCTCCACAGACAGCTCCGATGCACTGAAACTCTCCTTGCAGTCACTCACCACGTGCAAGGCGGCTCGTTAGCCTGCAGTTTGTAACCCAATTAATGACGGTGAGATCCGCCCTACACAAGCTGCTCAAGGAGCACAGCACGCTGCCGGCACCCAAACCCCACACAGCACTTCTGGCTCTCCCTGGTGCAGGCCTGACCAACACCCAGCCAGCAGGCACAGCAGGCACAGCAGCCCTGGGTCTCGCCTTCCTGCTGGATCTGAGCTCAGGAAATAAGCACCAAGCAAAGGCAGCCCTGATTCTAAGCTTACTTGCCAACAAGGTTTTAATTAGCAGGCGGTTTTCTTTCAAAGTGTGGAATTTGAGGAAATTTAGTGAGATCTTAAGCTGTTTGTTTGTTGGCATGTACGAAAGCCTTGGATTAATAAACACACAGGCTGGTGGCAGGCAATGCAAGTTGAACAGGCCTTTCTACCTTCCAACCTAATTTATGCACACCTTTCAAGGACAAGTTACATCCACCGGCAACACAGCAGAGCCTTACTCCTGCTGACAATTCTGCCAAAGAAATGGAGCAAGGAGTTATTTTTGACTCCCAGCACTAACATCTCTCACTCAGAAGCCATGTACTTGTGACACTCCCAACTGCCAAAACAGACACAAAGCTGTTCTCAGTATAAACTACAGCTGGCTAAAAATGACTGCGAGACTCCAAATGAATGAAGATGCTAGTGGCTCAGCCCAAGGCATTGCACAGAATTATCAAGAAGTGATTTTTAAACACAGAAAACCAGTTCACAGTAGATGTTTACCAAGTTTATCTATTAAAACTTCTCCTAGACTTGTCAGATTGGGTTTATGCCATTTAGATGTTATGTTTGTATGTAGTTTGTGATGATCAGCACTGAAAAACTTGAAAGAATTCTGACAGGATAAGAGACTCCAGGAGAACTGTACCAGTTCCTTTGTTTTTAAGAGCTTTGTGTCATCTGCAATTTGTGCCAGTGTTTAGAAAACAGCTCTGTGCTGACCAAGACAACAAGGCAGCTCACTTGATGCTTTCTCTGCTTTCTATTTTAGTCTCAGAGCTGGCAGACCTCCCTACCTTTCTGCTTTTAGTCAAAGCTCACTGAAGGCAAGCTTTCTGTCTTTCAGACCTGACTGCAGCACTGCCCACCAGACCAGCAGAGCACAACATTTTCAATATGGAAACCAAGGTCAGAACACAACTGCTACTTTTTGTATCTTTGCACAGCACAGTGTCACATCAACAGCATTTACAATCAATCACACAAAGATTATGGGTAGATTATCACTTTGTTATCAGGGGAGCGTCTGCAGGGGAACAGCAGCACCTTTTATGATGGGAATATCACAAAGAAGTGCCAGGAAAGGCATCACTCACCTCCATAATACAGTCCTGTGGCAGTGCACATTCGCCACTGTCCCTGATACATTCCTGCTGTGCTGGGGCTGCACATCTGAACGCTGACATCTGCAATCTCCTGGGGCTCCAGGGACCTGACCATGACCATGTTTACGTGGCCAAACTGGTCTCCCCCAACGTACTTCAGACAAACTCCTGGAGGCCAGACCTCTGTCCCTGGGATTAAGCAGAGCAAAAAAATGAAAATAAATTAGCAACAGTGCACCAGGAAAAGGCGTTGTGTGCGTTTTTATGAGACTGGGTGAAACACTTCTTAAAACAGCTGTGCAACTGTTGAACAGTTAAAGGAATACCAAGATTTATGTATCACAGCCAGCAGCGGATACAGAAGAAAACAGTTTTCAGATAAGGTTTAACTGGTCCACTTTGCGACCAGCAGGCAAAATCACATTCCTATAGAAATAATCTCTAGCTCTTCATTATTCAGGAAAATCCTCAAAGTCACAGTGCAACAGCTGCAAAAGAAAGAAAGAAAATCAACACAGCTGACATTCACTTCATACTACAGACAAAGAGGTGAGACATTTTTCTTTTCCTCATTTCTGCCTCCCTACATGTAGCTCCTGAGGTTTTCAACATCAAAACGTATGCCATTATCTCAAAGTGCTGGAAGCTTTTCTTTCAGGCATTCACTCCTTTTTCAGCCTGTTAGTCTCCAGAGAAACTCACACTCTGAATTACAATTGAAGAGCTAGCACTGTTTTTTAAAAGGATTTGCACCCCTTCCTGCACCAACTCTTCTCTCAGCCTTGCAAAATGGTGGAAATGATTGTGAGCATATGATTTACTTGTGGAGAACAGTGTTTAGACTGGAGATACTGGGAGTGACAGTGTGAGCTGACAATCTGGAGAGATTCAGAAAGCAGTTACTGCATGCAAACACAGCAATTTCCTCCAAAGATAACAAGAACTGAAGCAAACAAACAAACAAAGCTTAGCAGAATTTTCTTTTGCTTCTTCTCCGATCTGTGGCAGGCCAAAGACTTTCAGAACACCTTCTGCTTGACTAAGGTTGTAGGAAGCAGTTAATTGAAGGAACCACCAAGACGCTTGGAACCACTCAAAGTCTATTCTGAGGCCAGACTGGTGGATGCTGATCTGACCTCAGGTTACCTCCAAGAGCATCCTGCAAAGGATGCAAAACAGCTTGTCTGCTAATTTAATCCCTGTGGATGCTTCAGTGAAAACACGGCAAGGAATAGCTTCTAAGTAGAATCCTTATTTATGGAACTCTCCATCTAGCAAGGAAAGAAAGATGTGAGCTAATAACACTGGATATTCGGAGTGGAGAACACACTGCTACAATTGGAAACACTGCAGAGACAGGGAGGTAACTGAAAGAGAAAAGCTGAGCGATTAGCTGATCTCAGACTAAGGCATGGGGGAGTCAAGCATGAAGTCTCCTCTGACAAGGTTAGCAGCCCAGCAATAGGGTTTAAACTGTGCAACTTTTATCAGTTCAGGATCAAAGATGCCTAGAATGCTGCAATTAATAAGCCCCATAAAAGGAATCAAAAGGAATCAATCATAGAATTGTAGGAGGCTGGGAAGGGCCTCCAGAGATCAAGGCCAAGCTCCCTGCTAAAGCAGGTTCTCTACAGCAGGTCATACAGCAGACTCCACAAGCGCTCTGTCACTCTGACAGCACAGAAGTTCTTCCTTGCATCATAGAGAACAAGGGGCATCGAGCTGAAGTTCCACTGCTGCTCACCACTAAGAGCCCACATCCACCAACCTGGCTCCTGCACTTTAGGTGTTCAGAAACAGTGATCAGATCCCCCCTCAGCCTTCTCTCCTCTAGAAGGAACAGTCCACGGGATCACAGCCCTTCCTCATACAGGACATAGTCCACACCCTTTGAACATCTTTGTCCTCTCCACTGGGCTCTTTCTAGGAGATCTCTATCTTTTTTAGAACTGGGGAGCCCAGAACCAGACACAGCGCTCCATATGTGACCCCAGCAGGGCACAGCAGAGGGGGAGGATCACCTCCTTTGACCTGCCGGCCATGCTCTGTACAGTGCAGCCCAGGATATCGTTGGCCTTCTTGGCCACAAGAGCACACTGTGGGCTCATTGCTCCTCCCCAGCAGGGCAGTCCCTGCCCTGTACTGATGCATGCAGTTACTCCTCCCCAGGTGCAAGACTCTACACTTGTTCTTGTGGATCCTCATCAGGTTCCTCCCTGCCCCGCTCTCCAGTCCATCCAGGTCTCACTGAACGGCAGCACAGCCTTCCTGTGTGCCAGCCACTCCTCCCAGCTCTGGATCATCAGCAAACTTGCTGAGGGTGGACTCTAACCCCCCATCCAGGTCACTGATGAAGATGATTATGCCATTCTATTTCAGTACACTCATCTGTCAGGAGATGATGAATTGCAGTAACTGTCCTGCATGCAGAGCCAGCAGCAGCTGGGGGCAGAGTGGGAAGAAGAAATACAACTTAAATTCTGCTCGTCTTTTAGCACTGCTTCTATTATACGGCCTGGTCTTTGAGCAGACATGCCAAGCACCATCCTGGAAGATATCAGAGCAGGGTATTAGTTTTTAGTAACATAAAAACCTGACTGAACCTGGCTTACTGCTTGCGTGCCTAAAACTGACAGCCTCCCAGAGCTGTGCTTGTCATACTCGTCAGACACCGAGTGCTTGGGTGACACATGCCTCAGGTATTTCTTGTTCTAGGACTGAAATCATTTAATCAAGGGCTCCTGTAGAGCTGTTAAAAACCTTGGCTTTACTTCAGTTATCTGCCTAACAAGCAGATATTATCTAGAAACACCATAGTCTTTTGATATTATATCTTAATTAAACCTCAAAATGGTTTTAATATGCCCTGGTTCTGCTTAAACTGTAGTCACAACACAGTATGTGGAGGTGCATTTAGCTAAAACATGCCTCAACAGCGTGGTTTTAACAAGATTTGGCCTCCAGCACCAGTATTCAAGCACAGATGTACTTTTAACAAGTTGGGCTTTAACCCACACAGAAGCCAAAACAAATTTTGGCCTCGCCAGGAGCTCATGAGTCCAGATGAAGTTCTTTTCCTCATTTCAGCAGGCCCATGGATTTCAGAAGGTCAAACACAGCAAACAGTGAAAAACAGCTTGAACAAGGATGTTAAATTAAGGCTGAATTTGCATTCAGGAAAGAATACATCAGAAGAACAAGAGGAGGAGGAGTCTGAAAGGAGCTATGTAGGGGGTGCAGTCATAACCCACACAGTTTAAGATACTAATAGTGGAGAAACAAGATCTGTCAAGCTTACTACATTTTAAGACTTGTTTGAGACAGTTATAAAAGTTTTCCAGTCAATTTTGCACATTACAGGAGTTCAAGGAAGTTCTGTTACCTTTCTATTTTACTAAGTCAAAAAAGGCAGAAAAAAATTGAAATAATTAAATCCTTTTTCTAGAATATGGTGCTTATAGATCAGTGTTCTTACATGCACACTGCTCACCTCCAATATCCTGATTAAATACTTAGATTTTTAATGGGGTTTTAGTCTTTGCTGCACTTTGGTATTTAGCACAAATCCATACAGCATGAGTACTGCAGCCATTTTCAAGTCAAGACACTTGCACAGCTGTATGTTACTCATGATGATTCATGGTATCACACCTTGTCATGCTATCATTCTTCTTCACAGAAGTGCAAGCAGGTCAATTACATTCAGACATACAGGTTAAACATTCATGCAACATCCTGCCATTGCAGCAGCCAAAGATGAGGTGTTCCCCTCTGCATCCTCAGATCTCTGACTACATCCCCAAAGATTAAGCAGTTTTGCCTAGTCTCACTTCCAGACTGCAGCCACTGCTTTGATTTATTTCATTCTGGAACGTGCTCTCTCCATCTCTGCATTCTCCTAAAGCATGAAAAAGCCATTCTGCCAAAGGTGTATTAGAAAGTCAAGGGTGCCTGCCACACAGCTGCCTCCTCTCAGATTGTGGCATCTCTGAATCCACAGAGAAGGTTAATACTGAGAGCCCAACCACCAAATGGCAGGCAATCAGAACACAGAGTAATGAAACGTAGTGGTAACGTACACAGGCCAGAGCTGAAAGGCTTCAAGGTTTACAGGGATCTCTCTCTTCACTGACTCGAAGGTTGACAAATTCATTTGACAGTGGACATAAGGCTACTTTAGGATTCTCAACCTATTTTCAGATTTAACATCCATTACAAAAAGCAAAACAAGAGAAGCACTTCATTTTCTATTTATATGCCTCTTCCTCCAAAAGTTTCCTAGAGCTTTTGTTTCTGTGACGACAGGAGGAAGAAGAGCTCCACATCCAGCCACAAAATCTGAAGTGCTGACGTAGGAAGGGGAATGCAGGCAGGCCAGCAGGCGACCTCCTTCAGCAGCAGCGTGGCTTCATTCCAAGGTAGGTGCACGTGAACGTTCTGCCTTAAGCAACATCTCCTCCATTAGATCTGCCACCCTATCACACTTTACATGGGCTTTGCTTGAGTCACATAGACTTACCTGTGTTTTGTATCCTCCATGTTTTTGTAAACTGGGTGTCAGGAGGGATGGACTCTCCTTCACCTATGGTGACATCTTCAACAAAGGACATGGAGGGTACGTTGATGTTTGGACTCTCAAAATCATAATAGGCTCCAATGGCTGCTTGTAGATTCCTGGAAAGCAAAAAGCAGCTTAGAATCTTAAGCACAGGAGGGTCGGGGTCTGACAATTAAGGATAGATATTATCCAGATTGTATCAGCTCTGCTGCTTGCACTTTCCTAAAGCTTCCATCACTATCACACATGGATTTTCCAAGCTACCCAAATCCAACACACAGCATTTTACTTTCCATGGACGCTCCCACAGGGCAACATTTCTAGCCTGATTCTCATTTTCTTTGTAAAACCTGGAACTTAAGAGTCTGTAAGGCCTTTGAGCCATTAGCTCTCTCTTGAGACCTGACAATAAGCTGAAAGGACAGTGAGGTTAAATGTTGTGCACCACATGTAAGCAGAGCCACTTCCTTACTGGCCTTGTTTCCTGGGCTAATTTCAAGACAACTCAAATTCTGTTTTACTTTGGTGTGAAAGGTCCAAAAGACCACAGAACGAACACACTGATAATTCTGAAGGCTAAAGAGAATCAGCAGCTATGGAAAATAACCGAAGCTTTGCTGCTTTTGAAACACATGGTCATAAGAGCTATTTATTAATCATTAGGTGTCTCTGGACAGTCATGGCTCAAAGGAACTTACAAACCATCGACACCAGCATTCTTCCTGAATAAAAACAAATGACAGCGGAAGTCTGTGATGCATTACAGACATTCAGAAAGCCACAGATGCTATTGATTCATGGTCACGGTGTAGCAGAAACTCAAACGGTAATTAATCTGAAAAGAGGAACAGTCAAACAGGAAGAGGATCCATGGGTCTCAGCTGCCATTCCACGATATACTACTGTGCCATTATGTAAGTGTCTTGGCAAGGCATGTAATTCCTCTGTTTACGCATGTCTGGGAGGTTGTGGCCCTACTTTACATGTTGTGAGTAAGTGCTGGGAGAATGGAGATGAGTGAAATCTCTCCAGAAGAGATGGGCAAAGCAATTGCTTTTTTATTTGTAATTACAGAGCTACTCTGTTGTGTTTGCTTTTTTTTTTTTTTTTTTTAAAGCGAGACAAGAAAGCCTTCCAGAACCAGGAATCACCACCTAAAACAAAAGACACATCGGAGAAGCTGCAGTAGATGGGAATGGCGATTTATTGTGGGTTAGTATTGTTTGGTGGAGTGTCATGTGTCTAAACCAAAGCCAGAAAGCCAAGGCGAAAACAAGAAAAACATTTGCAGCATGACCCTGAGAAAAAGCAAACACAGGGCTTTTTGGACTGCCTGCCAGCTGGAAAGAGCCTTGAAACGGTGAGCAAAGGAACTCCTGTTCAATTCCTACAGTGTTCAAGGCAAAAAAAGTCATAGGGAGACATAGAGTAAAATCAGAAGCGCATGGGAGAGAAGCATGGCTGATTGCTGCTCACACGGGAACCCAGAGGCACCCTGTTGTAAGACTTCCACATTTACAACTCCGCATTTCGGACCAGCAGTCATTATTCAGCCTGAGGCATTTTCTACTTAGGAGTGTCAGGGCTATATTTAAACAGACAGCTCAGTCCAATGCTGCAGGAAGGCTGCGTGCCACATTAGCCAATAAATAGAGACAAACGCTCTGTTTTACATCACTGACCGCCTGTTGCTGATACACCACACCAGATTTACATAACTTGCAGAAGAGCTGTGCCAGGAGACTCCTGTTCACTCAACCAGCTAACACTACAGCCTAGAGTTCAGTTTTCACTTTGATTTCTTCCTGCATTACAGCAATCCAATGCAAAAGGTATTGCAAGAAGGATAACAGCCAGCAATACAGCTCTTCCTCTTCCTAATCCACCCAGACATACCACATTGCACGCTACAGTGCTGGAATCAGTAGAAATGTCATTTTCTTGACATTAAGAAAGAGAAAAATAAAAGTTCCAAGGGGAAGGTTGCTGCTGTAATCTGTTGTAAGGCAGCCTGCACCACGTTTTGTTTGCTTGGCTGCAAATATGCTTCAAAGGTAGTGGGCTATTTGTGCACACAGGCTCTCTGCCAACTTTCTTCCCCTCCCTGTGTCATATTTCACTGCTTGCTTTGCCATTGGGGAACAACTCCAGTCCTCCGCAGCATACAGCTAGCTGTTAACTCAAGAAGAGTACATGCTGAAAAACAGATTTGCCACCCTTCTGTGATCACATATCACAAAGCCACCTCCCTGCTCCCACTGTTTATATCAGTGTGCAGCGGGTTTGGGTTGGGGGTGAACACTTGGGTGTGTTCCAATGCACAGTGGCCTTTTTGCTGGAGAACTAAGAGGAAGCTTCCAGAAACCAAAGAGAAATCGAAAGTAACAAGAGCCAAAGTCAGGATGACAAAGCAAATCTGACTGAAGTTCAAGTTCTTCAGCACAGGCAGCCCAGAGAGATGCCACCGAGCGGCCGTCCGGCACCGCGCCGCCGCAGCAGACACAGCGCTCACATTTTAGTCATGCTCTCTGCTTACACAACCAGCAAAGAAAGCAACCTATCACTGCTGGCTTTGTTTCTGCTCTCTCCGAGCAAGAGAACTCAGGTATCAGTGTGAATGCAGCCCTTTGCTCGAGGGCCACGTCCAGAGGTCAGAGCTGCAAAACGCTCAGCCTGATTACTCACCCGTTCCCCAGGCTGCGTATCATTTGTAGGACTGAATGCTGCTGCCTTTCTACTGTAAGCACAGTGTTTGTGGGCTTCACAAAGAAAGGCTGCTAAGGAGACTTTGAGGTCACAGACGAGTCCCTGAAGTTCGCCTATATATATTTGCTGTTATTATTAGGTCTTTACCCTCGTGCCCCAGATACAACTGCAGAACAGCAACTGCAGATCCTCCCGGGAGGGGAACGAGGAGTTAAAACTAAAGAGGAAGGAGTTATCATTTGAAAGCTGCTGCTTACAGGTTAATGCCAGCCTGCTTTCACTCCCAGGTGTGACTTGCACCACACTTACCCCCTTTGCTCCCTGCCATGTGATATCAATTACTATTATAAACCAAACTACTTTGGAGCTGTAAGATGAGCATGCCCAACCCAGCCCGTGCAATTTACACAACTGATCTATCCTAATTACAGGGATGGCCATATTTCTGTCTCTTTCTCAGCACAACCCTCCAGGTGTCATGCTCTCCCAAATGAAGCAATCGGGCTCTTCCAGGAGGGCAGCAGGGCTCTGCCATGCTCACACAGCAGGTCTGGCAGGGTTTTACCTCGGCCTCCCGCAATCAGAAATCACACAGCAACAACGCGAGCCTTCTTACCACCAAAGCAGAACTCTGTTTCAGTACTGAGAGGGGGGAGAAGGCAGCAAATTGTAGCTCCATATCATCAACCAAACCCACTCCAGCTCCGGTACCCTGCTCCTTCCTCCCCAAAGGCATCACAAATCTCAGGTAGCGCCTTGTTCCCAGCGAAGAGCTACCCACACAACGGGAGAAAGTGTTCCTTTGCAAGTCCGTTTTCTGCTCCACCGTTTGGTTTCAGGCCTCAGGAGCTACATTACAATGGAAGTTAAAACCTTCTCTGCTAATAGCGCTGGAGATGTCCCTTAACAACTCTTAAGTGTTTGCGAAGAGGCGCTTTATCTCGAGCCATTCTCTCCCTTCCCATGTTTCTTCCAGACAGCCTTTTGTTATGTTAAACCAATATATTTAGACAGTAATTACTCCCAATTAACTAGGTCACCGCGCAGAATTCAAAAATAAAAGGAACTCTTCCAAATCAATTCAAAAACCAGAGCACTCTTCATACAACCGAACGGTGGTGCAAGGGAAGAGCAATATACGGGTAATTGGAAATGATTTTTTTGCTTTTAATTGAATCCGATTCCTCATTACAAGGAAGAAACCGTGGCACTGAGACTCGCTCACATCGGCCTCGAGCAAAGCAGAGCAGACGCAGGGAATCGTATTTGGGTTTGATTTCCAACCCAGGAGCTTAGGGATCTGAGCTATGGGAAAACGCCCCGGCTGATGCTCTGAAGCACTTGTTGACACAGGAATTGCACTCCAAAGTAACAGTTACAATAGAAAGCAACGACTTGATAGTTCAAGTTTCTACTGTAAGTCTTACAGGAATCTAGAAGTTTTCTTTTAAAGTCTTTGATGAACCCAAGTCAGATGAAGACAGCCCTCAAACACGGCATGCAGATTTTGCTCCTATGGCTCCTGGCGCCCTTTGCCAGCCATAGAAGTGGACGTTCTTCCAGCACTGATTCTCCTGAGCCGTCAGGAAAAAAACAAAGGTCACCCTTCCAGTGCAATACCAATTTAGCCTTCAACTTCAGATCTCACACCGCACGCAGCACTTATATCACAGACAGCAACTTGAGGACATTTATTAAGTCGAGCAGAAGGACCTTTGACAAATGGATTCGGTTGCAGATGGCTGCAATGAACTGAGCACCAGGCTCCATTTCTCTCCCTCCGAGCAGCTCCTCATTGAAAGCCAGGCAGCTGCATGGCCTCAGCACTCACATGTGGCAGAATGCCTGCTGTGCCCAAAGCAGCTCAGGGGTTATCTCCCAGAAAGACGTGACACAAAGGCTAAATGATACAGAGCACAATGACAGTAACATACGGCCCTGTGTAGGAGGCTCTGTACTCTTTCCATAACCAAATTGTCAAACTTTACAGCTCTTGCTCCCGCTGCCTAAATGCAATATGCAGGGCAGCACCACAGCACCCAACGAGGCATCTGTGTTAAAAACCAAGCATGCAAGAGAAGCGATGCAACAGATGGATCTTTTCTTCCTCCTCAATGATGGATCTTCTTTACACAGTACAGGTGGAAGAGACTGAAAACAGACGTGCAACACATCCCGGTGAGGCAATCCTCAGGCCACTCCTTTTGCCTCTTCATTATCTTCTTTGGAACTGGATTGACCAAAAGAGCTCCTGCAGTAGGAAGCACCTTGAAGCATTAGAGAAAGCTGGAGAGGAGATAGAATCATCACACCCCAGGAAAGGCACCTTTACCTGCACTTGGCTTCAAAGGTTTTCGATAGAGATGACACACGGCGATTAAGGGGGAAAAAGTCCCATGACATTTTGAAG